TTCTTTTTTTTTTTTCTTCTTCTTCTTTTTCTTCTCCTTCATCTTCTTCTCCATCATCATCATCATTATCACTTCCTCCAGTTAAATCATCGAAGTGTTTTGTGATATTTTAGGATATTCTGTGTGCTTTTCAAAGGCATTTTATAAGTTGGTCATTTCGTTAAGGCTCGACTTTACATAGCTCCATCGCGAGCAGGCCTGTAGCCAGTGACTCGTGTATTGGCGGGACTCTTATCAGATAACTTCGAATTATAGACGCGGCCTGGGCTGTTCATCGGTTCCTCCACGACCGTGGGGATCCGACTCTTTGCCACCGTAAAATTGACTGCCGCCACCTTATATTTAAGGATTGACAAACTTCTTGATTTTTGCGGTTTGAACTGCATTCCACACCATTCGACAACGCTGTCCAACCTTTTCAGAATCGTGCTAGCATCTTCCTCACAATAGTTGCGTTATCCATAACAGCACGCAGTGGCGGCATTCAGTGGTCCCCAGTCTGAAGGACATGCCGTAGCCAGCAGCCCCGTCTGACATGACCTGCATGGCCATAACTTATAATATCGGCCAGATCGTACATCCAATTGCTATCCTAGCCTGTAGCTTAGTCCATCTCACAGTAAACGTCGGGGCAGAGAAGCATATGGCGACTTTTGAAAAATATTGCTCGATCATTTCGGTGATCTGTGTCGGGACGTGGAACATGCGAAGGGCCTGGCACTATAACCTATGGGGTACTGACCCATAGGCGTTAGCGAGATCCAACGATGTCACGTGCAACTGGGTTCTCTCTGCCTTAGCTCTCTGAAGAGACTCTTAGATCATGGTCGCGCGTTCAATGCATCCGGGAACGCCCAGGATTCCACCTACTGAACAGTCGTATCGATGTATTTGTTCTCAATCAAATACTGTGTGAGCCTGCGAGACATAACTGAGAAGAATATTTTGCCCAAAACATTCAACAGCGGGATAGATCTGAACTGGGACAGACTGTGTGAGTCTTGTTCCTTGGGAATGTAGACTCCATTGGCTCTCTGCCACTGAGTACACATGTTCTTTCGGCTCCACGCTAATCTTAGCAAGCGGTGAAATATTCGGATGACTTTCGGAAAGCGTTTGTACACAACGTACGGTACACCGTTGGGCCCTGGGGCAGATTAGCAGCCAGCTCTCTTCACAACCTCTTCGACATCAGACCAAGAGGGAGGCATCGTTGTTTTTTTTTTTTTAAACAGTACCTTCGGTAATTCTGGCCGCTTTAGGTCGCTGGTGATCTCTGGGTTGTCATCGAGAGGCTCATTTCTTGTCCGATCGAGGTAAATCTTCAGTAGATGTGACTCCTGCTCGTCTTTACTGAGCACCAGAGTTCCAGACTTTGGTGCTCAGTAAACAGCCCTCGGGCAAACGGAAACGGGTAACTAAAGAACAGCTCGTTCCCGTTTGGTTGTTTGTCTGTTCTTACAGAAACGCTTGGTGCGACAGAGGGCACTGTGGCGGCTCTTTGTGTGCAGCCAGACCTCATACAGCCCTTATCGTTCGCTGCCCGTAGCGGCTTTGAACCGTTTTTTGAGTGCATTCTAGTCTGCTAGGCACTTCTCGATGTCTCTCTGCCTTCTGCTTTTTTTCCTGATTGTATATAATATCACCAAGCCGTGTAGGCTTGTCACCTAGCGACTTTTTTTGTTTTTGTTTGTTCAGTTGAAATTCACCAATAATTTTCTCACATAATTCCCCCTCCAGCTTGCACTAAGAAACCTTATTGCTTACAGTTTATAATTCGATCCTCAAACGCCACTTCGTCGGAAAACTGCAAACGTTCCCCTCCGTAATCGACATCTTGGGCCTCTCCTGGCGAGTGATCACCCTAGCAAGCGGGCAAATTCACAAGTGGACCAATGGTGTTGTGTTAATACTTGATGTGATGTGTAAACAATGCTTACATGTAAAGATAATTAAAATACTTCTTTAATTCTATCTTGTATAGTGCTACTTATAATGCACACTGTTTTTCTTTAAAAAAAACTGAACTTTCAACTACTGGATTAGCCATCACAGTATGGTCAGCTTTTAGCAACGTTTTTTTAAATGACGGATACAAAAGCTACTATTGAACTCTGCTTGCTGAGAGGTAATTTAGGTAATATAAATTAATCCCCTCCCTCTCCCTTTCCGTGAAAGCAGTACACTTGTTACCTGCCATGAAAGTAATCGTTAGAGAGAATGGCTCGCTCTGACACAGTCGTGAAGAGTTAGTGATGTGTTAATATTTTGCTATCCACTGACAATGACTTAATCTATGTGACTAATGACTTGCTGTCGATTAAAATCGTTTAGTATTGCGCAAATCTATCGCCTACTAGCTGTACCCGGCCACGCGTTGCTGTGGCATAGTTTGGCTTAATGGAAAAGAAAGAAAATAGAAACTACACGTTTCTAATATGGTTACTGTCATTGTCTGCGCACATACAGAGATAGTTTTCAATGCCCCCCGCGCCTCCTCTTCCCAAATCCACCTACTACTCGCTCCCTCATCAAAGGCTTTTGGAAAATAAAGACAATAGAAATCGCACGTGTCTAATATAGTTAATGGCGCAATCATTGTCTGCACATATATAAAGATAGTATGGTTTGCCACTTTAGAACACGCAACATATATTTGCGTCTTTATATTAGTTGTCGTTTAAATGGTATTATTAGCACAGTTAAAAAATTGTTATTGGTTTTCACATGCTAAAACTGTTTGTATTTTTGTTAAGAGACGGAAGTAAACATACTACTATACTTGTAAATAACCAAGTAAGTCGTTAAACAAATGAGAATAGCGGAGGTAGCGTTAGTAAAACATAAACAAATTAGGAAATGAAAACTTTAAAATTATGCCATAAGCTCTTTAAGTTAACAGTTTCTGCCATCACCCCCTCCCCTCCCCCATCTGCTCTCTCTCTCTCTCTCTCTCTCTCTCTTTCTCTCTCTCTCATCGAAGGATTTGAAAGTCATCACCCGAATTTTTGTTGTTGTTGTTGTTTTTTTTTAATTGACGTTGATATCGGGACTAAAATAGGGAGCAGGAATTGTAATAAGTAGTAAATGATTCTAATGTTATTTTTTACCACACCATCCTTCAAGTACCAGTACAACTACTACCACCACTGCTACCACAATAAATAAAATAATATCACTGCTATATCTTTTACCGTAGTAGTAGACGGGGAGTCGTGAACCAGAGGATATGGCGCCGCAAGGCTAGTGATGGCGGCACGGACGGGTCAGGTTAGGATGTGTAATTTCGCTCCCCGACAGAAAAATGCCATCACCTTACCGGCGGTATCCGCCATGACAGCACTACGGTGTAACCGCTCAATCAAACTACTACTACTGCTACTTTGAGTGGGTAAGGTAGTTACTTTGACTTGAAGCTCTTTCAGTTACCAGTTTATGCTACCCCCTCCTCCCCCTCCCTTCCCCTCCCTACCCTCTCCCCCCTCCCACCCCCCCCCCCCGCCACAATTCACCGACTACTCTTTCCTTTATTGAAGCAGTCTGGAGGGAAAAAACAAGTGAAATGCAACGAAAACAGGAAAAATACACAATTATTACGAAATGAACGCAAAGATAAACAACACAGCCTAATTCCAACGCAATGTCAGAAGAAATAATTAAATCGAAATGAAAATAAATGGAAATCTACGAACATTCAGTGTTACTATGCAATCAGAAAGTTTGAAAAGAAATCATAAGTATGCGAAATGGTCAAATTTAATTATCAACTGGTTTACCCACATACCTGTATTTTTATATATATTTTTTTAAAAAGTTTTTATGGCCACGTGGCTAGTGCTGTCGCCATGACAGAGCAAGTCTGGCTTTTATTTTGCTCCCGGGTAACAAATAAAAAGGGAAACTGCCGTACTGGGGATTCGAACCCTAGTCTCTCGCACAGGAACTCAGTGTACTAAACATTCGACCAGCCAACCACTGCTTCCGAAACAACGAAAACATAACAAAACTACGCAAGATGTGTGTCCCGATTCTAACACAACTCAAAATCGCAGGGAATTGTTTTCTCATAAACAGATATTCCAGATATAAACTTCAAGTATCATTGAAACGGCACAATAATAGAAATCGTACGTATCTAACACGGTAAATGTCGCTATATTTGTCTTTTTTTTTTGTCTGCGCAGACATAGATCGCCCCCCCCCCCTTTTCTCTTCCCCTCTCTCAAATCCACCGACTACTCTCTAACTCATCAAACGTTGTTTGAAAAGAAAAAAAAATAGAAATCATGTATAATATGGTTAACGTCGCAATAAGTGATATAAAGATAGTCTGGTTTGCTGTGCGGGGGGATGTAAAAAAAAAATGAGCGTTCCGTGTCTACTGCGCATCCACTGTGAAAGGCGATCACCTATGCGAATTTACTAACGTGACTATAATTAAATGCCACTAAAAATGGAAATATTAGTTTTGTAAATTTTTGCAACAAATGTGGTCACTTACCTCTAACAATGACAGGTAGAATTTCAAACCATGGTGGGTAAACATCCGGGTCTATAGCTTATAAACAAACACACAAACATTGATTTTTATATCTATAGAGGTCAAAAAAATGAAATTGGTGGAGAGGAATACGCCCATGCTACTGTACTTTATTTTTTAACTCACGCAAAATAAAGGAAATCCTGGACCTTCCTTGGAAGTCAAATATTCTAGGGTCTTGTAATTTGCCATTATTGGCCACTTTAGAGACTCTGACTACCCCTAACTCCAACCCATAACACCACCTAAAATATTGGATTTTCACAGAAAGACCTGGATTTTTTTTTTGGGGGGGGGGGGGGGGGGGGGGGGTTTGATGAAAATAAAAAAAATTTCCGCGGGTAATAAATGGAAATCTACAAATTTTAAAGAAAACGAAAAAGCACATAAGACCACTAGATATTAATCTCTAGACAAGTTGTACACAATCTAATACTGACGTTTGCAACATTCTCTTAAGAACAGAAAGTTGACACCATGCTTCCCTTCATATTCGCCATCTGCACGGTGCTCTCGGTCGTGCACGGATACAGCGTCGGTAAGTTATTTGTCTCTGACAGAACGGTGTGTCTGTAAATTTTTTATCTGGTATATTTGTCAATAATTGTAAATATCAGCAATGGATATGTCTATAATCATAAATATATTAGTCAGTAATTGTTGCATTATAAATATATCAGTCATTAATTGCTGCATCCTAAACCTTGCAGTCAGTGATTTTTGCATCATAAATCTATCTGTCGGTAATCATTGTTGCAATCAAATGTCTCTCCATCTCTTTCTTTAGAACAATGTCATTCCTCTTTTGTAATGGTCATTAGGTCAAGAACAGTATGTACACTGCTCACAGGCACCACAGAAACTTGCTGTCTCAGACTGACTGCCTCTTGCTGCGGCTGCGGCGAAAGATGCAAACAAACGTCAGAACATTCTCTCCAGAACTTACCAGAACATGTTAAACAGAAAATGGCAGATTCACTACGGCGGACAGAGAAAGACCTCAGATTTCGCGTGCTGTTGGTAACTGCTGCTTAAATGGAAACTTATCTAAGATTTGGGTGAAGGAATAAATACTTCATCGAAAATACCCACGATTGAATCACTTTCGTGAACATTTCCACCAGATCGGGTAGATCAAGCTGCAAAAGCGTCTTGTCTTTTGATTATAGTTTAGTCAACTGACATTCTTTATTACGGCAGCTGTTTCAAAGTCTGGAATGTTTAGTCTTGGGTTTGGAATCACTAGTACAACGGTGGTCCTAGTGACATGTCCCTAATTTAACACTATGAATATATTATCTTTTCGCGAAATTTGATTTGAATTTTAGTTTGACTATTCATGTCTGCTTAAAGGACAAAAATGTGTTGACATTAATTTCTAACCGCTAAATTTGTTTTCCCCAAACTAAGGCTCGCCAGTCTGTCTAGCCCTAATTGACCACCAAGACGGGAAAGTAAAGTAAAAGACCTCTCGTTGGATGATGTGGACCTTCAGATTGGCAGACGAGCGATAAGCTGCTAAACCACGGTTGCTCCCAATACCAAGACTGTCTAGGAATATAAAGACCAGTTGTTGTATTTTTTTTTTTTTAACTTATCGTGCTGGGGACACAGTTTTTTTTTAAACTTATCGTGCTGGGGACACAGTTTTTTTTAAACAAGTATAATTTCGCAACATAATTATTCACTATACTAACAAGCCACACTTTAAAATAACCATTGCACGAAAAAAATCGCCTTGAAGCCATCAAAAATTTATAAGCTCCAAAGATATATAGCGAACGTTAAACACAATTGAAAAAAAAAGTATAAGAAAAATAATGAACATAAAATAGAATCAATTTTTTAAAAAAATCCAAAGATATCAGACAAATGTCTAGACAATTATTTGTATCGACTGCAGACAAAGAAAGTGGGGCTTAACTGGGCACATTCGAGGACGAAACGAGCAAAGAACTACAAAACAAGCAATAAGATGGAAAACAAACGGTCTGATAAAAAGACGACGTCCATATTAAGTACTGAGAAGAACATTATTACGAGAAGCTAAAAAAAAAAAAAACGGCTGGCTAAACTCCATATATTAAAAAAAAAGAGAAAGTTGTATGCTATGGCGCGAAGTGGAAGTATCGAACTCGAGCCCTTTGTGACGTCTAATAGCAAACAAAAGATGGTGATGATGACCATCTTCACACTGCAGCAGACACAATAATGTACGGCGACTTTGGACAGCTCTGGACTACTTACAGACAACATTAACACTCATTAATAGTGATGTTAAATCTTGGTTAATTACACATTTTAAACAGAGATACAGCAAAAATCTGCTAGAGGACAATGCATTGAAAAATTTGTGTTTCTGCTATTTTAAGAGATCGTTAGTTTCTCTGCTGGAATTCCTCAAAGCAAGACCATCGCAAAGGGCGAGATTGTCAAGTTTACTCAGGTTATCTCCAACCACGGTAACGGCTACGACAATACCACTGGCGTCTTTCACTGCCACCACGGTAAGTGTATACTACTTGTCATGCTGGCTGTGACCCATTTGCTTCTGCTCGTGTCTCTATTTCAGGCCTAGACATTAGCCTCAGCTGGCAGCTGGTATAGTAGGGAAGCTCATAAAGGTGAGCATCCAGAGCACTGCTTTTCTGATCAAGCAGCTTCTGCAGCAGGCTTTCTTTTAAACGTATTGGTATTACTCTTCCGTTTGTAAACAAGACATACCGAAGGAGGGATCATGGTACATGGGCAACACAAGGTTTCTAGAATTACTCTGGATTTATGCTATAGAAAGAGAGAAACTGGACAATTTCCATCGCCATGGATAGGTTTCCTATACCTTCCTGGAGTACAGTACAACTTTATCAGCAACAAATGCATTCCCTGGTGTCTAAAGCTCTACATCGACCAAAGTTGTCCCTGTTATCCTCTCTTGGGATATAATCAACGTTTGTTGAAACCACACATTCTAATTTTGTGGAGTTCTTCTTATTGTGCGTGGATAGTCCACAGATAACCAGGTAAGGCTGTTGACGATTCTGATATACCGTTTGACGCCTATGGAAAGACTGGCGCCCCGGCATCGCCGGGTTGTAAACTGGCCCTTTGGCAACAGAGGGTCTATTGGAGACCAGGGTAATCCACCCTAATCCAATTTAATCAACTGATCGCAAAAGCAACCTATAAAGAAAAATGCTACCAGGGTCCTAAAAAATAGGGGGGAGGGGTGGCACCAGCCCCAAGAACGTGACTATTGCCCTATGGCCCGGTTGGCTGTGTGCTTGTGGGAGAAGCTTCACGGGGGAGCATGGTATAAGGATGCACGTAGGAAAAATGACATGTAACGATGAACAACGTAGTGGGCACCTGTGCAAAGCTTTGCGGTAACAACTGAGTTGTGAGAGAGCGACCGGCAGGGTTTACTCCACTCGCCCAAGACGTCTATCACGGAGGTCCATAGCTGCAATTTCTGACGAAGTCTGGTCTGGTAGTCTGAGTTTCAGCCTCATAGCAAACATGTCACCCCATCGTTGCTCCGCTCCTGTGCCAACGAAAAACACACAGAATGTTTATCACAGTCCCTTGAGGAAAGACCTACAGACTGCTGTCTCGGCATATCTAGCATACACACGAATTAAAGCATACGGTAGCCATCCGAAGTGCTAACAAAAACATTCTGAAATTAGAAATGCAGTTGATCATTGATGGTAGCAGAAGTCACCAACAGATCAGCAGTTGCCCACGCGATCAATTTTTAATTACATACGGGCACACCAGCATTGCGACGACAGGCATCGCGGTCTCGCCATTTTCTGAATCTACAATTCACACCACCACGACAAAACTATATCCATTCTACAAATGGAGCAAAAATATATCGGCCACCGTCCGACAGAAGCAAAAAATTTGCCTCAGCTCCAAACAGTGCCGCTGCCTAGCATCCATTTTGACCGGAAGTCTGACGAAGTGCGGACGAAGATCAAGTTTCCATCTGCACGTTACAGGGTGTCGTGCGCAAGCTGGAAGGGAATTTATGTGAGGTTATAGAGTGTGAACGTTAAAATTAGTTGCTGGAGGACAAGCTAACACGGTTTGGTGACAAACTTTACACTCCCTGCTACCGCAAGTTCGGGATAATTGAGAAGACGCAGCCGGGCGACATGCATGGAAAAAATTAGGAGGCAGAGAGACATCGAAAAGTGCAGGGCATTACGGAAACGGTTCAAAGCCGCTACAGGCAAATACAGGCGATTGACTCTATAATGTCTGATCACACTAGAAGAGCAGACACAGTGTCCTCCGTCGCGCTGAGCGTTTTTGTAAAAACGGAAGGAGAACCAAGAGGGAACGAGAAAGGTATTTTAGGCACCCGTTCCATTTTGATCGAGGACTATTAGAGCAACCAAAATCTGGCACTGGTTATCGGTCAAGAGGAATTATTGGCAGAACTACTAAGGATGTACTCAGACGGGACTAGAAATGAACCTCTCGATGAGAGACCAGAGTTCATCAGCAGCCTGAATTTCCCCGCGTTTCCGAAGGCAAAATTTAAGACGTTGCCCCCTCCCCCACTCCGCCTTTCCCCCTGCCCAAGGACCAAACAGTGTCACGTACATGGTGTACAAGCGCTGTCTGAAAGCCCTCCGATAGCTTCACCGCTTGCGAGGGCTTGCGTGAAGCCGACAGTATATATGTAAGCAGTGACAGAAAGCCAACAGGGTGTACATTCCCAAGGAGCGAGACTCCTGTAGTCTATCACAATTCAGACCTATCTCGCTGTTGACGTTGAGGGCAAAATATTCTTCCCGGTTATGGCACGAAGACTCACGTAGTATCAAATGCAGAACAGATAAATTGGCACATCGGTGCAAAAAATTGCATCCTGGGCGTCCTCGGGTGTCTTAAGCATGCGACCGTGATCTAGGAGTCTATTGAGAGAGCTAAGACAGAGAAAACCGAATTCCAAGTGATATGGCTGGATCTTGCCAACGCCTATTGGTCGATACCACTTAAGGTATTATGGCAGGCTCTTAGCATGATCCAAGTACCGGCAGAGATCATCGCTATGATCGAGGAGTACTTTTTAAAGTTCTCTATACGATACATGACAAGTATAAAACTGAGGTACATAGTGACGATTGAGGACAAAAGAGGCAGAGGCAAAACCGAGAGAGGAGATGCTAGACAGTTTTACATCATATCTTGGAAGATCATCTGTGTGAGAAATACAGTACACGAAGGTTGCCAATAAACATGACTACCAACGCTACACGGCATGGCACATAAAAGGAGAGAGTTTACATGAATCTGTGTGGACCTATAATAATGCCGCAATCTTTTCGGAAAAGCCAGCTAGCTAAATCGAGGAAACACGGAGTGCCCAGACAAAACAGCAGAAGCCAGACACCCGGAGACCCCACCCTTACCCGTTCCAGGCCGCCCTAGGCAAACTGATAGTCGTTTTTAGCACTATCAGATTCCCCTCTAAAGCGGCAGAGAAACAGCCAAATCAAAAGCCGCTAAAAATCCGCCAAGTCATACCACCCGGCATATTATAGCAAGGAAAATGTTACGCCACAAAGAAAGAGAATTCAAGCTAAGACAGCAATGAACCTTCCTGCGATATTACAAGCCTTCGGGCAGTTAAAGGCGGGATAAGCACGTAATCTGTGTTTTCCTGATACCCATTACAGAGACTCCGGCTAGTTTTTACAGTGAGGCATATAACAAACACAAGAGTCGCCGAGGTGTAGCGGCTAGACGCTCCCCTGCGTATCGGAAGGTCGTTGGTTCGGGTCCAGACAAAGTCCGCACTTTTTTTAAAATTACAGTTGGGCCCTAAATCGACCCAGCTTTGAGCAAAAGGATTCTTTTCGACGACTTCTGGACTTTTATGCATATAGGGCTGGATCCGAACCTATAACCTTCCGATCTTCGGCCTTGAGTGAGTGCCAAGTGTAGTCATAGGATATAAAGGCGGCCGACGTGGTGATGACCACATCACCCACCGAATACCGACTGGTCTCTAAAATATAGGTCTAACCCTAATGCCCAATATGCTTGAAGGCGTGCAAAAGGGCACTATTCTTGACCCACATTACACACAACAATTTACTTAAATGCGTAAAACTGCAACATATAATTGCCCGTGCTGTAATCTCCAGCCTGGGGTGTACTACTTCAGCCTCAGCGCCCTATCTCAACCAGGGCTAGCATTCGGCTTTAAACTGTACCACAACGAAGAGTATGCCTTCAAAATCTACGGAGCTGGACCAGAGCTTTCTGTCATGGGAGGTAACTGTGTCGTTTGTGCACATGCTCATGTTTTAATATCTTCCTTTTCCCTGGCGTCTTCGGGGCACAGTATTAGCAAAAGAGGGATATACACACTGACCATCTCCTCCCAGCAAGCATATCGTAATTAAGGGTGTTTATTTCAAAGTCGGCCTGCATCTGGCAAAGAGGAGCAGTCAACAATCTGCATAAAAATTCGACACATCTGTAAAACGGATGTGCATGCAAAACTCAAGTTCTGGAACAAATAAAAGTCCAGAAGTGTTTGAACAACCAAACTTACCGGCGGAATTTAACTTTGATAACATACAGAAAAAGAAGAAGCAGATATAAAACCCGGGAAATTGATACGGAGTTTTTAACGTTCGCACCTTTAAACAACACTATTGAAAGTTACGATGCCACATTTGTGATCAGAATAAAGACGACTAACAAACAGAATATTGTGGGGTCACCCTATGTTCCTTATGCCATGCAACAAAATGGACGTTATAAGTAACTAGAAACAAAAAACCGTTTTCATAACAATGGCGAATGTGGCAAATAGTAAAGTGTCCCTTTCCACGACTTCAGGAATATTAGGCACATAGTGTTAGACCTATATTTTATGGACTGATGGAGACACGGTGGCTGGTGTGGTCAGCCTTTTGATTTTTAAATTGCACTTTTTGTCAAATGCGTTTTCGTTTTTTGGCTCTTTTTTATTTTTTCTTCCCCTCATTTTGGTTGGCTCTCTGTTGTTTCCTTGCCTCTT